TTGGGGTTTAGGGGCTTAGGGGTTGAGAGGTTTAGGGTTTAGGTCTTAGGGTTTTTAGGGCTTAGGGCTTAGGGCTTCGGGTTTCGAGGTACTTGCCAGGAAATGAAGGTCTACATGGTAGTCTCCGCCGGGACAGCAGAATCCGGCAAGTCACCCACTTCCTGAAACCTTTCGGACAGTCCCGTAAACCTTTCAACTGTGGACGGACATCGCAGTATCTTATCCAGCAAGCAACTGTGATTTTTTCCGAGCCTGGCAAGCCAAAACCCCAAAACCCCAAACCAAGCTGCCCAGAGCGAAAGGCTTGTACTCTGACAGGCTGCGCACTCACATGCACAGCCGAAAGCAGTGCAGTGCGTCCAACGCATCGGGTCACTCATACAAGCGAAGGGCTTGTAAAAGCGATAGGTTTAGGTGTTATAAGCTCCCATACAAGCCTAGATAGGATTCCTTATGGCACATGCTGAAACCTGAAGAACCAATGGTAGCTTTGTGAAGTCACGAGAAAGCTTTATACAAACCCATAAGACCCTGTCGGGCTTTAGAAGATGGGAGTCCGAAACCCCCAAACACTCCGTGGAACCCTAAATCCCTGTGCAAAGCCCTTGGCCTTTTTGCCCAAATAACATAGAAACCACAAAAAACAAACGTAGGCAGCCTTCACAACACCTTCTCATCCCACTCGTTTAAACCCTGAAACCCTACATCTCAAACCTTAGACCCCTAAACCCCAAACCCAACCCCCCACTAGAACCCTAAAGCCCTTCTCACCAACATCCTTCATCCCATAAGCCTGAGCCGTAACATCGTCAACCCTAAATCCGAAACCCTAAAATCTTGGTTCCTCAAAAATCCTCATCCTTAAAAACCTGAAAAGCTTCAAACCCTTACACTGTAACAGTCCTAAAATCTAGAGGCGTTAGCTCAGCCATCCTGACACGCAGAATCCTAAATCCCAAAATCCCCAGCCCTAAAATCCAAAACCTCATAAACCCTAAACCCTACACCCTAAACCCTTAAGCCTCAAACCCTAAACCCTTAAGCCGTAAACGCGGTATCCGCAGACTCCAGGATGCACTGAAGGCACAGAAGGAGGCGGAGGAGCGGGAAAGGCTGCGACATGCCCGCATATTTAAATATAGGCGCCTAAATAATTACCTATACTATTTTGGGGCTCCTTATTATGATTATAGTATAAAGGACCGCGAAACCCTATTCTAGTGATTAAGGCCCCTATATTAGGGTTTGGGGTATGACCGCCAAGTTTTTGTGATAGGGCTCCAAGGGTTAATACGGCTTCTGAGGCTTATAGGGTCCATAATGAGTTAGTGTTTGTTTAGATCTATACCCCTCGAGGGTGAGGTTGGCAAGCTGTGGTCGCCTAGAGGACTTGAGGTTTAGGGTTTAGGGTTAAGGGTTTAACAGATGCTCGGAGACGCCCCTTGACTTTTTTCAAGGCATGGTTTAGGGTTCTAGGGTTTAGGGCTTGAGTTTTAAAGTTCAGTGGTTGAGGGGTTAAGGGCTTGTGGTTTCGGATTTGGGGTACCTCCCTAAACCCTCAATCCTAAACTCCTTGCATCCACAAGTTCATGCGGAAATGTCAAGAGCGGTGACCAAGAGCAGAGAAGGTACGTCGCTGCCCACGCTCTCTGTGATGTTCTCGTCCTTTCTCCTAAACCCAAAACCCAAATTAAATCCTAATCAAATCCTAAACCCCAAACCCCTGACCCTGAACACTAATTAAATCCTAACCTTGAAACCCTAAACCCGAAACCAAGAAAAGTTAAATCTTCTGAGAACGCTACTACGACGCAGAAGCCTTGGTTCTCATGATGCCTTCGTTTCGGCCCCTGGATTGTGTGTAAACCCGAGTCCTAAACCCTAAACCCTAAACCCTCAAACCCTATCTCGATTTTACAGGTTTGCGCGGTTTGAGGTTGAGGGTTTGAGCTTTAGGGTTAGGGTTTAGAGTTTAGGCTCCAGATGAACTTTCCAAGAAAGTGACACCCGCAAGCCCTAAACCTTTCCCAACTCTCCCCGCTTTAATTTCACCAAGAAACTTGAAACCCCAAACTGCCCTGTAAACCTCCTTGTCTAAAGCCCCGAAACCCTAAACCCTAAACCCTATAAACCTCTTTGTCTAAAACCCCTCGAAGCTTCATACGGCCCTTTGTAGAGCCGTCATAGGACCGAATAAAGACCCTTCAGTGAGCCCTTAACGCCAAACCCTAAACCTTAAACCTCGTGCCCTAAACCCGAAACCTTAAACCTAAACCCGAAATCCTAAACCCTAAACCCGAAACCCTACACTACAAGCCTATAGAATCGAGACCCGAAGCGTCCCAAGGAAGGCAGAGTTGGAGGCCGCGGTGAAGGCAGACGAGGCTTCGGTGATTTAGAAGAGCTCCTTTTTTCGGGTTAGGGATTTAGGTTTTTTTTGGGTTTCAAGTTGAGGGTTTAGGGTTTTATTAGGGTTTCGGGGCTTTAAAGCTTCAATAGGGGGTTTTGGATTCACGTTTGGGGGGGGGGGTTATTTAAGCCTTCGCGAGTTTGGATTCTTCGGCTACGGGGTTTGAGTTGTTTTGGTTGTTGTGCGTTTAGGGTGCTTGGTGACCCTAAAACTAAACCCTAAAACGCCTAAAACCACCAACCGCTTGGTGGCTTTTGGGGCTTAATTTGGGGTCTACTGGGAGGGCCAGGAGTGGGATAAGCCCCAGCACAAGACACAGACAGATGTCGAATCAATCCCCAAACCCGACTTCCCAAACCTTAACCCTTAACCCTTAACCCTATACCCTATACCCTAAACCCTAAACCCTAAACCCTAAACCCTAAACCCTAAACCCTAAACCCTAAACCCTCAAGAAAGTGATAAATAGAAATTGCTTGTTGCTGCTGGCCATCCGGAA